TTTTTAGACAGTTATCAGTGCTCTTCTAGGGTTCAGTTTGAAAGAATTTTTAGAGCACTGGCACGGACCTAAAACAGAAGTAAAACTTTGTGAAAAGTATAGAAAAATTAAAGGTAAATGTTAACTCTAGATATGACTTGACCAAATGTGCCAAGGAGGAGACTCTATCAAGACTGCAGCTTAAGCTTCATCTACAAATAGGACAAACAGAATCAATACAGTACCCTGAAACTATCTGACAAAATAAAATAACTTCTTCCAAGTAGGGATATTTGCATCTTCGACCTCTACAGCACAAACAGGGAGAGGAAGAAAAGTAAACAAAAAGGGTGCTGAATATGGTTATGATGAGGAGGGGGAATGGGCTTCCAATAAACTATCAAAAAGTGGGGCACCAGGGAAAACATCAGTCACCACTCTGCAGGAACCATGGCAAGAAACAGAAACCATATAAACCTGAAAACAGTGTCATGGTCCACTAACAGTACACCCAAAATACTACGGTCAAGCAGATGAAAAAAAATAATAATGCAGGTGTTCGACAAACCAAGAAATTACAAAATTATGAGTCTACTGATAATTTTTTTTTCTATTTGGCCAAGCAAATAATTCTAGATGATGTATTCAGACCCCTCCAATTTGGCAGTTTCTCCAACACTGAAGTCATGATGTGAAGACAAGGGTCTAAGGGCTGGGCACTGCACAGCCACTGCCTCGAGATAGATACTGTAGGACATGTAACTGAGGTATCTGCTGCCAGTTCCAGTCTGATGGAGAAATCATAATGCGAAGAAATGAGAACGAAAAGATAAGTCGTCTCTCATGCTAAGAGTCTGACTAGATTTAGGGACCAATAAACCAAGAACACACCACTGAAGTCTTGAGAAACCATTAATGGACATCCAGAAAGAGAAGTGCATGAGATGTTCTCTCTACTACATCCACAGTTACGCTCTGAATCTGAAGGATTTCTCAGTAAAATCTAGACTGATGGCATCCCTCTTTATTACAATCAGAGGACCAGACTGTCAGGCATGGTTGGAATTCTTGCTCTTTCAAGAGTTCAGATTTGCATGCCTGGATGGTGTAACATCCTTGATTTCCAGGGCACTAATGTGCGTTATCATTTTGTATTTAGAGCATGATGAATTACGGAGCTCAAGAGTTTAGAAGGGAGTCAAGGTCATCTTGGTGAAAGGCCCAGATTATCCTGTGAGAACACCATGACCAGGTCTCACAGCTTGTGATATATGAGAGCTTGACACACTTAGGAGTGACAACTGCAGAGAATTCTCTCTGTGTAGCTCTGGGTGGTGAAGACAGTTACTGTGAAAGTTTCTACAGAGATGTCACAGGTAGGAAAGTCTTCTTCCAGCTGGTGTCCACAGTAGACCTGGGACATCTAGCCACCCCACTGGAAGCGAACTGGATTTTGCAAATTTTGATTTGAATTTTAGTTCTTGATATACAGCTTCAAGGCTGATTCTGAAGTCTCACAGAGCTTGACAGTAGTATGGACACTTGGTGAGCTCATCACCCTGACATAAAGAGATTATAACAGATTTGTCGTTTTGTGAAGATCTGACAAATGGAAGCCTAAACAAGGAAGCACTGATGACCTAAAAACGAAGGATCTGCCTCTGGTGTTACAGATCTAGTAGTAGCTTATTTCCAGATCCAAAATCTCCTAGACCTCAGTTTACCAGTGAGATTTTCCTGAGGGGGAAGAAATATTTATGTTTTTCCTTAATCATAAGAGGATTCAGATTCCTGAGTACCCTCCTCTAGACTTATTTTGGACTAGAAATAACAGGTAAACCTTTGTTCAACCCTACTGAACGTCTCTACCACTCACTTGGCCAAGAAAGCATGAGTCTCTTTATTATTTACTTCATTCTAAAAGTCTAGAATTCAAATGTCAGCTGTGATCATTCCAGCCATGCGTTCAGATTCTGAGGTGCCCTCCTACCTGTAGATCCTGTGTGGATGGGAGGAGCAAGTAGCACAGTCAGCATCTTGGACAGGTGCACTGCTGAACGTGAATGGGTTACTAATTCTTGTACCCATGGCGTTCTGGAGATTCTCCCTTTTTCCTGTATCTATAGGGGTGGTTTCGGGGTTTGTACCAATCCCCTCTGGAGTATCCTCTACTGTGATAATGTGCTTTCTGGTCATGACTATAGAAGTATCGATGTTGGTTATAGTATTTGCTGTGGTCTTTATAGTCATTTTCCTTTACACTGTTTTCTTCTGCAACTACAGCATTCACATCTTGTCCAAAGAGGGAAGTACCATCAAAGGGCAAGTGTGAGATCTTCTCTTGGGTTTTCTTAGTGAGAGATGTGAGTCGAAGCCAAGCCTGCCTTCTGTAGTCTATTGCCATTGCCATAACTCTGACCACAGAGTCCATTATATCCCTAGTAGTACAAAGCTGCCAAAGGCCCGCATCCATACCATCAGATATTATACATCTTGCTTTTCCACGATCAAACTCTGGGTCATGGACCAGATCCTCCATGTCTTCCCAGAGTTTACGCTGATACTGAGTCATATAGGCCATGTAGCTAGCAGCTCGGGCTGCAATGGAAGCAGCATGGTAGAATCTACAACCCATGACCTCCATCTCTTTCGAGGTAGAATCCAGAGGTGATGTTGTGCTTCCTCTCTTGCTGTGCTCTAATGCTTCTACGATGGGGCCCCCGGCCGGTGGATTTGGTTGGAAAGGAGAGGTATCCTTGGCCACAGGATATACCCTGTGTCCCATGAAGGAGGAAGGATGGCAATCAGCAGGGTCTTTAAAAACCTCAGTGGTGGCGATTCTCAGAAGAGGATGCAGTGGAGGGACCAAACGTTTCTTAGAAGTCACACAATCAGGTTTCCCTTCGCATGGTTCTGCTTCGGACTGTAACGTGACTCTCTTGATAATACCTCTTTGTTCCATTCTTTTCAAAAGCCCTGTGAAACTAGACTGACTAGGGTCAGCTGGCTGCCCTTTGTCATCAGCTGAGGGGGATTTGCAGTCAGCTTCTTCTTCCACTGTGGATAAATGTTCTTCCTTGGAGGTAGAGATGTCCCAAGGAACCGAGGAATTCTTACTTGGCCTAGAATGATGAAATCGAAAACAGCTCCTGGACTGCAGATCACGTATCACTCGGGACATCTCAGCCACTTGTGTCTGGAGATAGAGGATGGCATCCTGTCCATGCTGTGAAGCAGAAGACTCTACAGGTAAATCCTCCTTGACCTCTGAAGAGGCCAAAGATTCTTGGGGGACCAGAAGTGGAGATGAAGGCAGAATCTGGCAATTTTGTGATGGCTTAAGCGTCTCTGTCTCAGAGATCTTAATAACTGAATTACTTTGATCACTTTTCTGGTTCTCCAATGGGTTCTCAACAGAAGAAGGTTGAGAAACTATCCTGTGTGGACTGCTGGTACAGCTCCCAGAGGAGGAGCTGCTGTCTCCACTGGGAAGAGGAACACTGCAGCTAGAGCACATTTCTGGGCGATGACTCTCAGAGGATGGCACCTTAGACTCAGGCATTCTCTGGGTTATCCACATGAACAAGAAAACCAAGGAAGAAAAAAAATATGCTTTTAATATGTTAACTTTCAAGTGCAGAGATGCATGTCCAGTAAGTAGAACTCAATTTTTAAAATTATTATAATTAACAATGAAACATACAATCCACTTCAGGTCAGCAAGGGGACCACAGAAGTCAAATCCACGAATTTCACTACCCCAAAGGCCCAAAACCAACTACTGGCATTAACTTGGCACTGTGTCTATGAAAAAGAGTAAAAACAAGCCCAGGTCAAGGGGTGCCATCCTAGCCTGCTGCTTGTTCCCATGCTAGAATAAGAAGAGGCAGCAAGACTATTGGTGAAAACAATTTAAAAAAAATATCCCATTCAACATATGTAAGGCAACAAGTAGAAGTTAATAATCGCAAAGAGAACTTGGGAAAAGTTCCACTGAGAAGAAAAAACATTTCTAGAAGTCCTGCACTGCAGAGTCACTTTTAAATCCCTTTAAAAATTCTCATTCACTCTCCATGAACAACAAAATTTTCCAGTTACACAGTTCTACCCTATGGTTTGTAGTTTTCAAGGAGCTTTGTTACCTCATTTCATCCTCACAACAACCCTGTGAGGTAGGTGTTATTCTTATGTGGTAAAGAAACTAAGGTTAAAAAGCTACTTATCCAAATTCACAGACTTAATAAGAAGTAAAGCTGAGACTAAAACCTAGGTATTTTGATTGCAAATTCAAGTCCCAATACTTTATATCATACAGCAAGTAGCTTTCTGGCCGCCTCGAACACACAGCCAGTTCTCTAATGAATCAAGAAAACAGCCCATTAACAGAAATTCGGGCTAAGACAAATGAAAGACAAGATTGCTACAAAGTGCTCAGCTACTCTGGTTCTCAGAGTAAGGGAAGCGTAAGTTTAAAGGTCAAACCCACAACCAATAAATCACAGGTCAGAGAGAAAACCCCAAATACGAGGAGGAAAGAGGAGGTTAAAAGGATGACGCCTGAATAATCCACAACCCTTCCCCATATTCCATTTCTAAAGGATCTTCACATATCCTTTCTTCCAAGATACAACAAATTTTCTGTGGCCACATGGTTCTGGAAGAAAAGGATCCAGTTCTACAGGGCACCTGAGGAGAGACAGGAAAGGAGAAGGGAGCCAAAAATCTTGCAGTTTTATTCCATTTCCCTTTTATCAGATATGGCCTCCAAGGCTTAGAACTTTCCTGTGTCACATAATCCTTTCACATCCTCGCTGAAAGTAGACGAACAAAGCTGGAAGCAGGAGATCTTCTGGGCAGAGGTCTCCCTGGACTACCTCTCAGGGCCATTCTAACAGAAACAGGCCGTTCTCTAAAGCACAATAGCACCTAAACACAGCCATCGCTGATTTGATGACTCTCTTTAGAGAATGCTTCTTAAATGCCAGAAGTGAAGAAATGCAAGTCAAATGTAATATACTTACCTCACTCTGAGAGGTGCTAGGCTCTTCATCATCACTGCTGACCAGATCAATGTATTCCAGGACAGGTCTCAATGGTCCTTCCTAGGAAAAAATGAACAAATTAACAAGTCATGGAGAGTTATTCAAACTAAAATAGCATTTAAAACAATCCTTTTTGTCGATGTTGGGACTGACTGGCAAGAACTCTTCTGAAGAGGAAGGCTTATGGGTGGCAGAAAATAATCAGAACAAATGCAGATGGAAATATTCATAGCACAAGACTAAGAAATGATGACAAGACCTAAAAGAGACTTGGCCAAGGTAGGGTATTAGGACTGTGTTGATTCCTTGGGGAGAGGATTATTAACACAGGAATACTGCTACAAGATCAGATACTGTAAGCCAATGCTTTTCAGATGGGATGGGTATCTCTGACTAGGAGCCAAGCTGTACTTCCGACTCCTACAGAGTCACACATCAAACCTGGTTCTCTTTCATCTTTTCTTTCCATCCATACTGACTCCACTGCAGGCCAAGTCTTGAATGCTAAGCTTAAAAGCCTAGATTTTATTCTATAGGCAAAAGGGAATCAATAAATACTAAGATGGGAATAAGATAATGAGAGCTTACCTTAAGAAGATTAATCACATAGAGAAGTATGGAAAGCAGGATAATTAATCAGTCCGCACACGTAATAATGCAAAACTAAAATAGTGGTGATGGCAAAAATAACAGTGATGCTGTGGTACATATACAAAAGGATATACAGGTTAAGATGAAAACAAAAAACAAAAAATGACTGACTATAAAAACAAAACCCCAACAACCACAAGGAGTCAAAGTGGTCACTAAGGTTTCAAGCTTAGGAGACTAAAGGATAGACATAAATTTGGAACACAAAGACAGAAAGCTGGCATTCCCTTGGCCATAATGGGATGATGTACGAGGGGTACACAGAGGCACCTGGCAGACAGCTGGAAATGCAAGCCCATAATCTGGGTATAGGAACATAACTGGAAATGGAGACTGGAAAGATGCTCCCCTACAAGACTAGTAACTCTAGAACTAAACTGAAACTATGATATTGCCAAGGAAGAAAGCAAAGAGGAGAAAGAAGGGATTCAAGGAGGCTCTTGAGGAAATGATGGAATTTTAGGATTTAGGAAGAAGAGCTAAGTAGGTAATCAGAGATCTGAGAAGAATCAGAAATGCACAAATTCAAAGAACCTGAAGACAGAGAAAACCTCAATGAAAAGGTGTCAATGCTAAATGTGGCCAAAATCACTGAGCACCGAAAAAAACAAAAAAACAAAAATGCCACTGAATTTAGCAACAAACAGAGCAACTTTCAAGATAGTAGTCAGCATACAAGTCAGGCTCTAAAAAATTAAGCTGAAAATGAGGCAGTAAAGGCCAAGAGTAATGATTATTCTTTGAAAAATTCTACTATGTTTAAAACAAGAGAAAGGGACATAGGGGGAGAACATGGCTGAGGGAAAGATTTCTCAGGATTGGGAAAGATGGCTGTTGGGAAGCCAAAGTGATACATTCAGTGGAAAAATTAAGAGAAAAAGACCTCAGGTCAAGAGACAGAAGCTAAGATCTAGTTAAAGATCCTCTTCGTGAGACGAGGCATCCAAGTCTCAAAGACAGTGTATTTCTCCCCTAGGCTGCAACTTCTCTCCAAGCAGGAAACTGCTTTCCCTGCAGGTGGTGATTTAGCCACTAAGATAAAACCAGAGAGCAAAACTTTTGGGCAGGGCTCATGTAATAAAGTAATTAGGATTTCTGCCTGAGCTGTAAAAATAGACATTTAAAAAGAGGATTAGAGGGACAGATATTCTGCAATGTGTGGTCAACAGAGATGAATCACCTACTTTAAGACCCAAACCTACCATTTGTAATAAGGTTGTCAAAATCATACACTCAATCCAAGAAGGTAGTAGAGGAGATAAAAATATAATAGCTTGCTCTCCTCAAGAAATGTACGTTAGGAACTTTTATTACACGCCCACTGAAGCAGCACACCAAGAAAGTCCCTGAGGTACCAGAAACACACAGAGGCTGGGGCAGAGCTTCCATGAAGGGTTGGCAGGTAGAGAAAAAAGGGAGATGAAAGGATAACTGGGCACAAAGCACAAAGTAGAATGGGCAGGAAAATGGTCACAAACAAGATGAAAAAGTAGCTGCAGAAACAGAAGAAAGGGCAGGAGTAAGGACAGATGAGAAAAAGTAACATAAATATCCTGCTGGGGTCAACCACTAAACTGATACCCAGCCACCTCTGAACTACTGAACAATGACAACTTATGATTCACACTAATTAAGAGAGCAGAATAAAAAGAATCAGGATAGTAAGTCCACACATGAGAAAAAGCAGGGGTCATTGAGAGTATTCATTCACTCAACAAATATGGAGTTATAAGTGACAGAATGGTAGGAGAAGACAGCATGTGTTTGAGACCTAAAAAGGCAAAGAGGCTGAGTGGAAAAACAACGGAAGATAAGTATTCCAAAGGAAAATATTACTTATAAACAAACACTCTATACTTTAGCTAATTTTCACAGTGGATACGGCCAAACTTCTACCATAACAAACCTAAGGAATCAAAACCCTTTGGTACTCCGTTGATTTTACTCTAATGGGGAACATCTGTCACTGAGCCCTGTACAGGCAAAGGTACTAAACTTTTCATGTATGTTATTTCATTCAATCCCCACGTTACTTCACTATTGTACCATTTAACAAAGGAGAAAACTAAGTGAGGCCCATCTGGTTCTCTAATCACATCATTGGCTGTGTGGTCTCTAATCACATAATTCTGAGGCAGTTCCAAGTATACACACTATGTTTAAATCAATGCTTATTTCCTAAGTTTCGGAGATAAGATACTTTCTCTTCCTTTAATTTGAGGAAAAAGTCTACCTGCTACTGTCCCCAACTCTGAATAACTCACAACACTAGCCAAAAAATAAGTTATTAATTCTCCTCAAACAGTAATAATTATAATACAAATATCAAGAAAAAGCAATTTCTTACTACGTTTATAATGGCTGCTTATATTCTTAAAAAGTATAAATGCACGTGGTCCTCCAATTACAAGGTATTTTATTTAAATTTGCTTCATCCATCAACTAGTGAACAATCATTCTCATCCCCTCTGTACCAGTAACAAAATCAAAGGATTCTACTCCAAAGCCACACAATTTAGGGGCAGGAGCACAGGCAGAAGCAAAACACGGGTTTTTTTCCCACATAGAGAAGTTAGGGACATAGTTTACTTCTGCAGTCCCGCCCAATTCAAACATTTCAAATGATTCCCAAATGCCTGCTCTAAGTTCAAATTTAGTCCACAATTCAAAATCTATACTATCCGGCCCATGCTTCCTTCTCCCACTTAAAAAAAAGTACCCTTCAGAACTAAGCATAATCCTCTCTGCTCTCCCATTTTGATGACTTTCCTTGTTTCTTCTCAAAATACTCTTTTTTTTTTTTTTTTTTTTCTTGCGTTATGCGGGCCCTCTCACTGTTGCGGCCTCTCCCATTTGCGGAGCACAGGCTCCGGACGCGCAGGCTCAGCGGCCATGGCTCACGGGCCCAGCCGCTCCGCGGCACGTGGGATCCTCCCGAAACGGGGCACGAACCCGCGTCTCCTGCATCGGCAGGCGGACTCTCAAGCACTGCGCCACCAGGGAAGCCCCTCAAAATACTCTTTTAAACACATACAAACACTAAATGCTACCTATGAAAAATAAACTGAAAATCATATGTCTTTTTTTTTTTTTACAGCACCTTGTACTTTTTATAAAAGAACTTTCTACTTTCTACTAGAACTATTTACAAAGTCCTCATCCCTATCTCATCTCTCACACTGAAATACTGACACTTATGGGTAGGATGTACTTCCAACTAATCTTTAGCTCTAAGGTACTTAATTCAGGACTCTGCTCCAACATTATTTTTATTTATTGAGCTAATACAACCCCAAGACACCCAGCCAAAAGATACCCTCATTATTTGTCCATGACCCCCCTGAAGTAATTTATGAAAATATACAAATATTCCACATGTTCAATGATTCCACATTATACCAATCATCTTGGTTGAAGCCTAAATCTCATGTGCTGTTATCAAGATTATGACAGGCTGTCTCAGCAGCTTTTATACCTTTGTATCTAGAGTAGCACTGTGAAAGATCACATCATTAGCCCTGAGTTAAAACAGTTTTCTGGGAGTAAATTAACTAACATATCTGCAGTTTCAAAGAATGCAGAGAATAAAGATGGTGGCTGAATAAGGGATCATATTACTAAATTAAACAGAAAATTAGAGCAAAAGACCTAAATGAAAAGTTTGTATAGTAACATTCTGTCTCTTGAGGTAAGCACTGTTTACACATGCGTATTGGCTTTGCAAAAATCAGACGGTACACTTATGAACTGTGCAATTCTCTGTATGTGTATTTCAATAAAATTTAAATGAAAGGGCTCATTTTTGCACCTCCACATCTATATCCTTCCTTTCCTTCAACATGCTTAGTTTCAAACTCTGTATTTTCTAAACCACACAAAAACTACTGTGCCACCATGCAGATTAAAGATGGGAAAGTTAGACTAAGAATGAACTAAGAAATCCAAACCAGTGTAAATCAAGAAGTAATACCACAATGTTCTTTTTGTATCTGAAGAAATCTTAAGCACAGACTATTTATTATTTTTATTGAACAAGCACTACCTGAGGAGTCAAGTATAAGATTGGGTTAGAAAGAGAAGATTCTGTCGCTAATGTATTTTAAAACAGAATTAAGGTATCATTAATTCATTGAAGTGTTATCACCATAAAGGCATAAGGAATGTTTTTAATAGGTTTCTTCTAGTACTGTAATTGCATTTAATACATATAATTCACTTCTCCATTTTGAACTATCAAACCTTTGAACTTATATTTGGAAACAGAGATAAATATAAGATGTATCAAGATGGACACAAATTCACTGACTGTATATTTTTACTCTGGATGCAAAGATACAACAGATTCTCTACATTTAAAATAATATTTAACTTAAAAGAGTATTCTTAAACTTCAGTCTAATACATGCTTATATTAAGTACTGACAAGCTACACCACCATTCTTCACTCCACAGAGTACCTATATATATATATTTTTTAATCTTATTTTTGTAGATTCCATCTGTGATTCTCAAAGTAAGCCTCACAGTTCATAAAGAAGTGTGTCCCTATTACTTTAATTTCCACAAAATACCAAGGTAAATATTCTCCATTCACAAATATACCCATATTCAGGGAGAACCTGAAATATCTGTCCTGAAGAGCCAAACATACTTCAATTCACAGTGAAGGAACAGGCAGGATACAATTTCTTCTACCACCACCCCCAAACCTTTAAAGTTTAAAATGAAAAGGATACAGCACAATATGCATGGGCAAAGACAAAAAAACCCAAGAAATGATCTTGCAAAAGACTCCTAAACAAACCCACTGAAACACAACACAACAATGCATCACCACAATGGCCTAATGTTGGGGTACATAGAAGACACTGTTTAATAACCAGTTTTTCAAAACTGTCCAAGAACCAACAAACACAAATACACATCAGACAGGGAATTAAAGAAAGATTATACACCTTTAATAGCAAACCTCAACTACAGTATTCAAAAAGAATCATTTACAGTAGAAGGATTCTCTAGCTAAGTGAGATACTACTTTAAGCAGAGACTTTATAAAACTTTTAGCAGTGTGGGGTGGAAATTATCCTCAAATGTATCATAGCACCCCCTTCAGTTTTTGCAACCAATGTTTTACAAAGTATGTTCACAGCTTCATACACCCCTGCATTTGCACCAGCATCAAGATTCCTGGGCCACACCTCCCATTTCTGATTCCATAGGTCTGGAGTGAGGTCCGGGAATCCACACACTTCTACTTACTAATGCTTGAAAACTACTGTCCGAAGGGAATAAAAACAAAGATTCAGGATGCTCCTGGTGATACGGGCCCTTCATTGTGAACCTCTCCTGCTGGACTGTGCTGTAACAGGATGAGCTCGGAGCTTAGTGAAGTCTTCAAGCCACCCGCCTTCACGTTATGGAGACACACAGGCTCAGAAGTTGAGTTCCTGCAGCTCTTCTGGTTTTCTACCTCATTCCTCATCACTAGCCGCCCCTTCTCCCTAACCTGTACAAGCCCCTTCTCCCTAACCTGTACAACACACACCGCAGGCCACAGGCTTTGTGATGCCTACTGGGACTACTCAGACACCTCTTCGGGCAAATTCCCTATTCCTATGCCCTGCTCCACAGTGTACAGTCCCTATCAGACATTCACACACGTTTGCTGCATGAAGAACAAACAGGTGAGGGGCAATCACATCACGGCTTATCACGCATAGTCTCTGACTCGGAAAAACCCGAATATCGTCGCTACTTACACTAACAAACTGAATGTCATCTTCATTTTCCTCGGGTGTTGACTCGGACGCCTCAGGCCCAGCTGGAGGGACACATTCTATTATCTATAAAAATAAGCCAAAACACGGTTACCTAGACAACCCCGAACTTACAGAAGATTTTTTCCAAAGGGAACAGAAAAACGAAAGCTCTCGAGAAGACCTAACGGATACCCAGCCTCCGCGAGCCCGAGCTCGCGTCCGTGGACCGCAGGGGCCCCTCCGCATCCCTTCTCCCCGAGGAGCAGGGAGCACGCTCCCCCAAGAGGCAGTCGGTCTCGGAACCCACGCCGCGCCCGCGCCGAGCAGCGGTTCCCGAGCCGGGCCGGGCGGCCATTGTTGCTGAGGGGCCCTCGTCCCCCAGGCCCCCAGGCCCGGCCCAGCACCCCCCGGACCCCGCACCACGCCGTGCCCAGCACGCTACTCACCTCCGACCCTGGGTCTCCCATCTCCCCGACGGCCCGCCTGCCGGCACCCGCGCTGCCGCCGTCCCCGCCGCCGCCTCAGCCTCCCCGCCGACCCCGCCGGCCAGCCAGCCACTCGCCGCCGTGACCCGCCCCCGCGTGCGTGCCGAGCCGAGGACGCCGCCGAGCCGCCGACACCGCGGGCGGAAAGGGCTGCAAAACCGCTTCCCGGGGAGGAGTGGCCCGCTAGGCCCGCGGTGCCTGGCTTCCCTGGCGCAGTCCCGGCCTCCCTCCTCCGCCGCGCCGGCCGCTGGGAACTATAGTTCCAACAGCACCGAGACCACCCTAAGAGTTACTGGAAAGGAACGGAAGAGAACCCCGAGGCATGGCGCATGCGCTCCTCGAGGCTGACGTCACTGCCGCTCGCCGGGCGGTGGGCTGGCGGGGTTCTGTTTTACAGTAAAGGGCGGGGACGAGGATGGGGAGGAGGGCATAGGCGTGGGTTTCGTGTGGTTGTGGAAGTGACAGGCGGGTGATGGAGACTAATTTATCAGTTCTCCTTTTTTCCCCGAAGGGTCGGAGATGTGGGTGCTTAGCTGAATTCTAAGATCAGGGCAGAAATCTGAGGCAGCCTTACACTGCTCACCTGTTCTCCATCCTCAGTCTCCGCTCAGAGCCTGTATTAATACACCTGAGGAGGAAAACTGAGGCCCTGAGCTCCCATCTCCAGGTTGACCTGAAGAAAGCTGGCGAGGCTAGAGAATCCTGGGCCCAGTAGGACAGTGATGTTACAACGTACTTTTTAAAGACGTTTTCAGATAGTATCTTAGTAAAATAGAATAGTTGACTGTTTTCTAGTGTTCACGCTCAAAAACCCTGTAAAATAGTTCACTCATGTTCAAATATGTGTTCTCATTTTTTTCACTTAACTGCCTTACCAAAAAGCCCCGTTTTTTTTTTTACACATCCACAATTGTTAGTAAAGGTTTTGAAAAACTTTAAGTTGGAAAATTCTTGTAAATCTTAAGATGCCGTTTTTGCCTGTCTGCATACATGCCCAACATGTGATTACCTATATTGGTAGTAATTATTGATTAATAGTCCATATTTCCTTCCAGGGCTTTATGACTTCAGTTGCTTTTCTACTTCGTAAGTTTGAGAATTGTAGAGGCAAATTGAGAATGAGAGACCTGCCTATTGTGTTCCTTAAAAGCTGTATGTAAATATTTCTAAAACTTTTAAATGTCTAGGCAAAACTTGTATTTAGGATTCTCCTAACGTGCTGGTGAGAGTTCAGTGGAACATTTACATTAACCATTTGCAGGTAGGAGTTAATGTGTAAAACTTGGAAAACAAGAGCCCAAATACGCTCATAACTCTTCATTCCTTGTGCGCTCCCAATACAGGGGGCCAGGGTTCAATCCCAGCCAGGGAATTAGATTCTGCGTGCATGCCACAACGAAGACCTGACGCAGCCAAGGTAGATATAGATAGATAGATAGAGAGATAGAGAGATAGATAGATAGATAGATAGATAGATGATAGATACTGGTATTAAGATTGAACCCGTACCATGATTCTCTGAGGAAGGTATAAAAAAAAAATTTCTAAAAGCATATTTTTTTAAATGCAAGGTATATATAATATGATCAGAACCACATCAAACCACCAAGCAAACCATGCCTGAAACAGGAACCCAACTTAAGTACTAATAGTGATTTTATCTGGGGTGCTGGACTATGTGTTAATAAGAAAATCTTTTGAAACCCATTAATATTTAAGCGACATGCCTGTAGTTCCTGTAAGGCCAGTTTTATGTAGCTTGGTGTAGCAGAGGAGAACAAACTATAGGCAAAGCTTGGGAGTCCCTTAATCTTAGGAAATTAAGAAGAGATTGGGTGGGGTGCTTTAAAGGCCAGTCGGTGTGGTAGGGAACTGGTTAGAATTGGAAAAAGCAGTTCTTTGCTGATTGGTTCAGGGTTCAAAATGGAAACTTTTAACCATGGGAAAATGTTTTTTATGTTTCACTGTGGATCCATTATTTTGCTTTATGAGTTAAGATCTTGAAGGGAACCCATCAATGGGTTTGGTAACCCCTCAAATTCAGTTCTCTTAGACTTTGTCGGACACAACATTATAATAATCTACATGTTGATATTATTCCTTCAACTCATTGAAACGAATAAGTACAGGTTTCAACTTTAGTTTTGATTTCATCAGTTTTCTACTGACTTTCTAGCTGGTTTTGTTGAGTGATTATTTATAGAACCATCTGTTTGAACATTGGCTGCATCCAGGATTTAAGATTCCAAGTCCTGGTTCTTGACTAAGGGAATGACACCAAGAGGAAATTAAATGCATCAGTAAGTTTCAAACCCTCTTTAAGAATCATTGTTCAGGGGGCTTCCCTGGTGGCGCAGTGCTTGAGAGTCCGCCTGCCGATGCAGGAGACGCGGGGTCGTGCCCCGTTTCGGGAAGATCCCACATGCCGCGGAGCGGCTGGGCCCGTGAGCCATGGCCACTGAGCCTGCGCGTCCGGAGCCTGTGCTCCGCAAATGGGAGAGGCCACAACAGTGAGAGGACCGCATAACGCAAGGAAAAAAAAAAAAAAAAAAAAAAAAAAGAATCATTGTTCAGGGAATTCCCTGGCAGTCCAGTGGTTAGGACTCAGCACTTTCAATGCCAGGGCCCCAGGTTCAATCCCTGGTCGGAGAACTAAGATCCCACAAGCCACCTGGCCAAAACAAACAAAAAAGAATCATTGTCCAATATTCATAAATCTCAAAAAAAGGGAAAGTATAGCTACCATGAGCCTGTCATTTATTTAAGGAGCATTCAATTTGGGGAAAGGAGTTAATGTATACACAGCACCAAATATTATGCTTTAGAAAAGGAACAAATACTTCCAATGCATTTGTATTAAGAACCATATTTGGTTTGGAGTAAATGCTCTAAGACCTGGCAACTGGAATGGTCTCTTTAATAAGTTCTGATAAAGTAAGAAATAGATTTATAGGCATTTATTCCAAAATAGAATATTCTTTAGGGAAGAAAAATGGCTCTTAAGATACTTTGGAACCAGTCGTCACAGTCATTTTCTGGGAGTTATGAGAGCAGAACAAAGAGCATTTAGGTCTGAAAGAGTACAAAAGACTATCCACTAGGTCTGTAGTGCAATTTCTTTGTTCCTCTTAGGTCTGGAATTCTGTACAAGTGTTGCACACAAGGAAAAGATGCGCAGGAAAAAAGGAGTGGTTCATTTCCATGGTTGGGTCATATGTACAAGCCACTTTTCTCATCAGAGGAAGCTGTGATAATTACTTCTTTTGGAAAGGAATTCTCCCCTTCAAGCAATCATGTATTTGCCCTTATGAGTAAACTGGAAACAGTAGTTTGGGGTAACATTACTACATATTGTGTGTAGTATTTGCAAAACTTCCCACCCTCTTTCTAGAAATATTTGGAGATCATCTTTCAGTATTTGCTTCATAGCAGTACTCCTCCTCCATATAAGGCCACTGAACAAAACTTCTGATGGTTCAACTTGTAGTGGGTCACAAGGGTTTTGAAAACACCATGGACAACCAAAATATTAGAAATGGTTTGTATCTGATAAAGGAATTGGTCTGTGGCACAGTTTAAACTGTAGGTATATTTGTAACAATCTTGCTGGCTGGTATTAAGATATCATAAGTATTAAGATCTATTTAACCTCTTTTATGGTAATCTACATATTAGAATAGTTGTTAAAATCTATTTACTAAAGAGTGACTATGGAGGAATTTAAGGCAAGTATAATATTCTTTCTTCCCTCAAACTGAAGAAGGGTGAAAAATCCTAAGCACGAGCAAAACTTCTCTGTATTTCACACTTACAGAAAAATTGCAAGAATAGTTTTATCGTATTCTGTATTTCTATCTACATAGAGATATACACATACTTTTTTTTTCTGAATCACTGGAGAGTAGGTTGCATATATCATGCCTCCTTATCCCTTAATAGCTCAGTGTGTACTTCCTAAAAATCAGGATTTTCTTTGACACGTGTACTTGTTTTAGTCCTCTTGGGCTGCTTTACTAATTTAGCATAGAGTGAGTGGCTTAAACAACAATTTATTTCTCACAGTCTGGAGGCTGGGAAGTGCCTGATCAAGGTGCCAGCACAATCAGCTCTTGGTTAGGGCCCTCTTCCTGGTTTGCAGACAGTCTTCTTTTACTTTCACAGGGTGGAAAGCAGAGAGAGAAGCAAGCTCTCTTGTGTCTTTCTTGTAAGGACACTAATCCCATTGTGAGGGCTCCACCCTCATGACTTCATTATCTCCCCCAAACTCCATCTCCAAATACCATCCTAATGGGGATGAATTTTGAGGGGACATAAACATGTAGGCCATGACAGTATTATCAAAATTTGGAAATTTAACATGGAATGATCCTTTTTTTCCCCTAATCTGCAGTCCTTTATCACATTTTATCAATTGTCCACTCCAGGATCACACAGTGCATTGAGTTATGTCTCTTTATTCTTCTTTAATTTGGAGCAGTTTTTCAACTTTGTCTTTCGATATTGATGTTTTTGAATTCCCAAGGCCAAATATTTTATAAAATGCTCCCCAATTTTGGTTTGTCAGATGTTTCCTCATGATTTGATTCATGTTATGCATTACCAGACAAAATAATCTAAGTGATGTTGAAGTGTTTTAGGTGATCACATCCAGAGACCCATGATGGCTATTTGACCCTCATTGAGGATATTAATTTTAATCACCTGGTCAAGGTATCATCCCATATCACCAATATGTAATTTCCCCCTTATAAATAATAGGCCATCTGGGGGGATATACTTTTAGACCAAACACTATGCCTCATGAAATGTATTGCCTATATATAGCATATTCTGATGATTTTTGCTTTTCCCAAACTTTACTATGATGTCCACAAAATGATAATACCCCAACTCTACTGTTCTCTCAACTTTTATTAAGAAAAAGATTGTAATTAAAAAAATTTTTATTGGAGTATAGTTGATTTACAATGTTGTGTTAGTTTCTGCTATACAGCAAAGTGAATCAGTTT